CTAAGCCCTAAACCTGGCTGCTCACATCTCAAATGGTTGTAGCACGGCATTTCCTTGGTGACCCTCTCGTGAGCTCACTTCTAGTCCTGCCAATCTACGCCCCAAAGCCAAAGAAGTAGTGTAGTAAAACAGTAATTTCAAAAACATTTAGCCATCCTCTATGTAAGGTTTCTGAAGCTAGCGCACGTAAAGTTACACCCCTGCAAAACCTATTCCAATCATCGAAAGGCCCCACATTCAATCAGACACCCAGCTTTCATTTCATGATCCTCTTCACGTTATTATCCATTACGGTGGGGGCACCCACTTCCTGGAAACCCTACACCCTATAGATTCCTGCAATGCTTCTATAACATGCCTAGACATCGCTATACAACCCCTGTAAACCCTGTATATACACCTATATGAGCGTCCGCTTTTATTATCGTGTAGGAGCCAAGAGCAGGCAGAGATAAAATCCAGGGCAGAACCCTAGTAAAGCGATAGGGCCGCCCCCAAAAGCGTACCCCCGAAATGGATAACAGCCGTGTCCAAAAACCCTGTAAAGCGATGTCCCCTCCCCAAAGCGATGTTTTACTTAGCTGTGTACTAATAATTTAGACAGCTGCTCATGTGGATATACATACATATGTATATATATATATGTTTGTATAGACATGTGTATACATACATACATATGTACATGTACTTAATTATCTATGTTTATACATATTCGTATATACTTATATACAAACATAGAAAGTATGATTGGGACAGGAGAACCATCCTGACTTCGAACCTTCAGCTTCCCTGAGACGAGCCATGAGACCTTGGTGTTTTTGAGGTTTCCATGTCTGGCTGCGTTGTCGGTTTAGGCTTTGGGGCTTAGGATGTTGGGTTTAGGGTTTAGGGTTTCGAGTATGAGGAGGCCCCACCAGTTGGAGAAAGAAACCTGTATTCAAGGTAGTGTGCTTTTGAGTTCTGGCCACACAGTCAGCATGCCGGCTCAACTCATTTCCATGCACGGGCCAGGTCTCTCCTACCTTGCATAACTTGCCTTAAACCAAATACGGCTTCTTAGAGGCAGCGCTGATAAAGCTTACCCAAAGCACTTGCGCCAATAAGCACTCATTGTTCTACCCCTCGGGATCCAAGTATACAAATAACACCTACACTAGGCCCTAAGGTCTGTACATATTACCTGAAATGGGGCCGTTTGGATCCGTAGCGTACCTGCTTAGTCCTGAATTGGACTTGCAGTGGCTCGGCAGAGGACCTGGACCGAATATCCTTTAAGGGACATTGCATGACTGAATTCATTGCATTGCCTAATTGCTGGTAACAAAGGCTTGGTGCTGCGTGGCCTCTTGCTGCAGTAGCTAGCCTTTCTCTAATTTTAAACAGGACTATCGGGGAATTTCCAGAAATCAGGGGACCCTCTTTGATGCTGTTATACGCGGACGCTCAGATGTTCAGTATACTTTTGGGTGCCCGAATTTTTGGAAGCTGCTATTTTGGTAATTCGAGCCTTGAGCATACAGGGTGGTCAGGGCACAGGGTCCAAGACAGAAAAACTGTCAGTGTCAGAAGTTGACCGGGACCGGCACCGGCAGGAAACTGTAGCTGATTCTAGGTAGCTTTCCGCTTTCTAGGTTCTCATTCAACAAACTCGAATGAGACAAAGCATGACTTAGAAAGAGGGAGCGCAGCGTGACAGAGCAAAAAGAAGCGCGTAATCCCTCCCCTCATGCTAAGGTCTCCCAACGCCCTTATAGTGAATCTTCCCAACACGGCACCATCATATCAGCAGGAGAATACTCATTAAGGAGAATGGGGGGTTGTTATTAGGCGCTTAGCTTGCAACTTGTTATCTACCACAGGGCTCCCAATTCCTTGGGTCACAATGAACTACGTCACACGATGGACGGCTTTCTATGGGGCTTCCGTAAGCAGGGGGGCCCCATATGATCCTAAGACATTATGATTTTTAATTTGGACCCCTTTTAGGGAACCAGCTTAATTGCAAAACGTGTTGATTTCAGACCAGGGCTCAATGCCGGCGCCTAATTTGCCACTAGAGGATTCAGCATTTCTGATATGCAGATCACGCGCCAGAAGAAGCGAAATCCACACATGTAGCAATACCCAAATCAGTGAGCCTGCTATTTATGAAACAGATAGACATTCAGAAAGACCCAACAAATTCTCTATTGAATCGTGCGGTTGTAGCAGGATCATTTTTATCTGCCTGTTGCTTCTTCATGGGCATTCCCTGCCACGTCAGCCTCCCTTGCCCAGATCGTGATGGTGATCAACGTAGTGTTGCAGTTGGTGTTGCAATACTTGGCCCGGGACTCAGCCTGATGCTGCCAGGATTCCACGCCACAATTCTTCGTGAGTTCTGTGCAGGCTTGAAGTACTTGGGTCCTTGCTAGAAGCTCGCTCTACGCCCCCTCCTTCTGCCCAGATGATGTTCAATAACACATGCAGCCGAAACGGCAGCATGTGCAGCTGTCCTACGAGTGCCCGACAATTGAGCCTCTACATGCTGGCAAGATTGTTATCATATCTTGGGCTCACACACATCTGCGGTAGCAACCGAGGCAGAGTTCGAGCGGCCTCTTTCGCACACAAGCCTCAACAGCTCCATGATGAAGAAGGCCTCATAGATTTGGGGCTGTCGGATCGATTCTACTAGGGCTAGTCCGAGCATCCTCCGTTGTTGCTAGTCTGATAGTGAAGTCACATCCAAAGCCTCCACAGCCGATTAGTTGGGCACAGCTCCTTGTTCTGAGATGTTTGCACATTTTGTTGCGCATGAGCACGTTGCATTCAGCAGGTCTATAAACAGTTACGTACCACAGCCTGCAAGCAAGACATGAGCCTCACAAATTGGGAGTTTGTAACCAGCAAGACCTGGGCCACCGCACCCTCCTTTGTTTGAACCCTTCAACCCTAAAGCCTTTAGCCCTGAACCCTGAACTTGAATTTGCGTCAGAGTTCTGATTTTGCTTGAGTTCTTGTCCTTGCTGTGGGTGTACGAGCCGCAGAGGTACAGCATTAATGTTGACAACTGCATTGCTTGGGTAGTTTCCCAAATTGGGGGTCCTTTTTTGGGGATCCCCATAGAAGGGTTTTGTATTGAAACTACCATTTTCTCACCGGTGGGTAGCAGGGATTGAAGCAGCACACAGTCCCTAAACCCTTAACCTAGGGTTCAGGGTTTAGGCGCATTTTCAAGATCTGTAGGGACTACTCTGCGCATCCATGTCTCCGTTCTTCACCTTTCCCTGCAGCGTTGCCAACCACCCATGGAAGATTCTGTTCTTGATTGAGGCATTTTTCTAAATCCTAAACCCTAGAATAACTAAATCCTCAGCCCTAAACCTTAAGCCCTAAACCCTAAGCACTAAACCCTAAAATCTAAACCCTAAACCCTAAATTCTAAACCCAAAACCTTCTAAACCCGCTTAAGCGTTAAACCCCCCCCTTCTTACCTGTGTGCAGGCATTCTGGGCTCAGACCTTGAACACGGGATTCGCGTGGCCCTGAGATGCTTTCAAAATAGGTACCCATTGGGGTAATAATAGAGTATGTTTTGTGGTTATAGTTTGGTTATATTGGGGTTATAGTATTATCCCTCTATAATGGAGAATCAAATGGAAAAGAACATGGAACATGAAATGGACTCTGGGATTGTATACGGGGTTCCAGGGGTGGAATATTAGGGTATATATTGGGGTTATATAGGGAATCATGGAAATGAACATGGAAACTATTATATTGGGTTTACATAGCCCACTGCTTCCGAAACCCATTGGGAGGTTTTAGAATTTAGGGTTTAGGGTCTAGGGTGGATTACGATTTAGGGTGTAGGAATACACGGACCCTGGTAGGTACCTTCCTACTATATTGTTGGGGTTCCCTGTTTGGGGTTCCCTTTAAATTCCCTTCAGCGAAGTGTGGTTTCATGGCGAATCTCTCCTAGCCGAGGTTCTCTTCTTCGTCAACTACTTCGCACCCCAAGCCTGCTTCTCAGAGCTTGAAATGGCAGGGCGACTGCGAAACAGACTCTGCTTGTTGCGTTCAGGCACTTCTCTTACTGGTGTTAGTAGGGAATAATGGAATAGAATCCCAACATAATATCTACATAGCATATTCCCTTATTCCCTACTGATCCCGAGTAAGTTATGTAGAACTAGGATTTTGAATAGTGAGATATGAGAGGCTTGATCCTCTGCACCCTGGTTGTCTGGCAACTCTACCCCTGGTCTGGGCTGTTGAAATGAGCGGACTCATCGCTCAGCGGCAGTTTCGCCCTGCCGTATAGGCGTGGCGAATAAAGTTCAGGGCCAGAGCAGAACCTCTCCGACAGTTGATTCTTGCCCGTCATCTTGGACAGTGTCACCGCGCCAACGTAGAGCTCAGACATGTGGAAGGCGCGGGCCTGCTGCATAGAGCCCTGCTTGCCTGTCTGGGATTGCCCGCTTCAGAGGGTTTTATTCCCCCTTGAGCGATTCCCGGGAGGACGCTGACTAGCAGATCTTCAAATAGATGTTCCTGGCATTGTTGCCTGTCCATGTGCGGCAGCTGACACCAAGTTGTCCAGGAAACCTAGCCGAGGCCCAGGTGCTATGGCTAGACAGAGGCCACTAGGAGAGCTACCTGGTGCTGAGGGAATGCGGGAAGGGATCCATATAGTAATCTACTAAGTGCCGAAGCGTCAGGGGCACAAAAGCCAAAGAACTTAGCCATGGCTCATTGACCAGCAACGTGTTAGCAAACCAAGCATGTCCATGACGCTTGGGCAACGGCTACTCAGCTAACAAGCGGCCACAGCTAGCAAGCCGCAGCGGCAGAAGCCGGCGTAGCACTGCAGTAATTCATGCGACCATGTGTTGGCTTACCTCACTTAGTTGCTGCTACCTGCCTCAAGAGAACTAACTGACACAGCCGGGTGCGATGCGCAAGTGCGGTGAAGATTCGGATTGGCACCCATCTACCTTTAAAGGGGGACAGGAATGGGACGGGCAGCTAGTGGCATGCAGCAAAACAGAAAATCCGCAAATTGGGTTTGCCAAGGTGCTTCAGGATGCCGTGCTGATCATCCCTGGCGTAGGCGGGTGCATCTACAGATAAATCAGAAATGAGTAGGGAATAAGGGAATATATTACAAAGGGGTTACATAGGGATTATTACCCTATTCCCTACAAACCACCAGCAAGGAGCTAATCGGTTCATTTGCTAGGATGGTTGGTTCCTCTTTTGTCCCAGTTGCCTCTATCGCTCAGCGCTGTCACCAGGCTGCGCTCGCATGGTGAATGCTGCTTGCACTCGATCACAAAGTGGGGGCGTACACCTATCCTTGCTGGTGGTTTGTAGGGAATAGGGTAATAATCCCTATGTAACCCCTTTACAATATATTCCCTTATTCCCTACTAAGCCCCAGTAAGTATCTGCTGCCTGCAGGTAATCTGCTCTTTCGCGGCCCCTTCGCCGAGATCACGCGTGGATGGTACGCCATTGTCGGCTCGCGGCTTGGGGAAAGCTACCAACGCTGAATCAGAATTGCCCCAGGGACTCAAGTATATCAATGATACCAAGAGTGGAGAATCAAATGGTAAAGAAAAATGGAACATGAAATGGAAACGTGGGTTATAAGGGGGCTATATGAGATCCAAATATACAAATAATGCTTACATAGGGCCCTAATGTCTTTGAATATTACCTACATCGGCGTTGGGCTCTTTAGATCCCTATATAACCCCTACAACCTCCATGTCCTTTCTTTTCCATCTCATTCTCCGTCATTAGGGTAAGACATTGGGCTAATTGGATCCCTACCAGTCTCTGGATCGGGGCAAAGATTGCGAAGTAGAGGTCGGATGGTTCTCTTCTTCGACAACCGTGCTCTGTGGTTTTATTCGAAGGCATCCGGCTGTGTACTTCAGGCGTCACCATCCTGATGAACATGATGCTGAACGCCTTCGTGCCGTCCAGCGTGACCATCGCAAAGATGTTCCTGAACAGTATCATGAGGCGTTGGAAGCGCTTTGGACTTTGATTCTGCAAGTGACCTGCAGCCTGTGACAAGCTGCTAAGCCAGCCTAGACCTACATTTTGGGGGGATATAGGTGCCAGTCAGGCAGAAGACACGGGCGATTAATGTTCATCGCCCTCCGCTAATGGCTAAAAGTTAGGGTTTACATGCTGTCTTTGGGGCTCGACTAGCTACAGGCGCAATTCTAATGTCAAGAGCAGATCACTGGTTAGTAGGGAGTGAGGAATGAAAATCCCATATACTGTATTCTCTTATTCCCCATTTTCCCCCGGTAAAACTCTTTTGGGCAGGTGCTTCTTCAAGAGAGGTGTCGCTCATCAGGCGCGGTGCGTTGACTTTCAACAGCCAGCTTCTTTCAGTGAACAGCTTCGAACGATTTGAACAAAGCATGTTTTTTCCTGCATACTGGGGCAGCTTTATGGGCCAACATATTATTACCAACTTGCTATAGTAATTTCCATGTTGTTTTCCATTATCCCTGTATAACGCCAAAATAATCCCTCATAATCCTTATACGCTGAAGCCTGAAACCAGAACTGTACATACCACCTGGAAGTAGCATCAGAAGGAAGGCTATGAGTATCTTGTGTCAGGCAGAGCTTCTGGAGCTTTACACCAACCCAGAGTTCGACATCAAGCAGAAGTGACCTGGACTGCAAAAGCTACCTGCTCCAGTCTTACAAGGGGAACTATGGATATCCAAGGTTGTACCAGGGTGATATAGGATTATAGGGGGGGCTCTAGAGGGATTATGTAGTGTGAGGAGCGTTCCACTCACAAATTGCCTAAGCTGGATCCTTCTCCGGTAGTAAGTGGCCACAATTGCCTGCCAGGTATGCGCAGCTCCTGACCACGGTGTTCGTGACTTTGTGCTAGCCTTGGATGGTCCACAATTCGAGACAAGAGATCCCGGATGAACAACCCCCCGACTCCTTCAACGGGATCCGATGTCTCTAAGGCATACTGTGGTGCCAGAAAGCCTGCAAATCACCCTTCAAATGGGCAGCTTGCAAAATTAGGGTTCTATTTTGCTATCCCTGAATATTAGGCGCCGTACTGAAATTTACAACCCAAACCCAAAGGGGCCCAGAATTTTGAGAGTAACCCGAATGGGCGTAGAGAAAAAGATGGTCAAAGAAGAGGGAGCAAGTCCAAGAGCATGAAGCCCGAAGGTTAAGGGTTCAGGATATCAGGGTTCAGGGTTTAAGGGTTGAGAGTTTAGGGTGTAAGGGGTCATTTAGGGTTCCGGGTTTAGGTTCTAGGGTGCATGGTTTAGGGTTTAGAAGGTAATGGCGCCCAAGAAACTTGAAGCTTAACCCCGAACCTCCAAAACTTCAATCCCTAAATTACCCAAAGGGTCCCTCTAGATAGAAGATAGTTAAGCCAAAGGATTACATTGTAACCCCTTTGGAGCCTAGGTATATACTATCTACCTACAATGTAGGTAGATAGTTCCCATCGAACTGAGGATGTATGGTGCTGGACTTCCCTTTCTCTACTTCCTGGCTTGCGTGGCCTTCCTGCATTAAAGGGGATCCAACAAAGACGTCACTTTGGATCCAACGGGGTTGCAATAACTGAGGCCCTCATGGGATCACATGATCAAGCCTATGGGTATATGCAGAGGACCCTGACGTATGTTAGCATAGAGACTAACAAACCCCTACGTTCCTACATCATGCCTGTAAAGTCTCTGAACCGCCTGTTTTAGGCAAGTTGGATCCCAGGATTGGGGTTGCAGAATTGGCGGTATCACTTTTTGGGGCGTGCGGGGAAGATTGGAAAATGTGACAAATCTGTGTGGCTCCAGGGAACGAACATGAAGCGGGGGGAGGGCTTCAAGAGCTCAGTAGGACAAGTGAGTAGTATTCTATTTAGGGATACTATGGTACCCAATATAGAGTAAGGTCATATCCTCCTTTGGGGTATAGTATTTGACATAAGGAATATAATCTTACTGGGTTCAACCACCCAAAAATTACTACTCAAGTGTTGAAGTTCTTGAGGACTTTAGGCCATCTCTCCCTCGAAGGAACATCCAGCCGACGCTTGCCTCGGGGTATTCGTGGTATTCTCCTCGGCCTACAGTGGCCCTGCACCCTACACCCTAAACTCCATGAGATCTTTTGTTATGCCCCAAACGCTAGACCCTGAACCCTAAACCCTAGACCCTGCGCATCTAAGGTCTTCATGTTCTTCCAGTGCCCCTTCATTCCTTGGGATGATCCGTGGCCCTAGATTTAGAGTGTAGGGTTTATAGGCATCTTACCCCAATAATGGAGGATCAAATGGAAAAAGAACGTGGAGTGACATGGGAACTGGGTAAGGGCTTAGGGCTTAGAGTTTAGGGTTCAGCGTTAGGGCTTGGGGCTCAGGGTTCTTGATCTGATGGGTATGGAAAGAGTAATTCTGGTTTAGGGTTTCAGTTAGGTCAATCTTCGCTATTGTAACACTTCCTCAGTATGGAGGTTAATAGGGCCCTAATATACCTACTATAATCCCTTATAGTACCAATTTCTAGGTGGGGGTTTGACCCAATTTTCTTCGGGTTTCCAAATGATTGCAATTGTGTTTCTTCGCGGCTTCTGAACTCGACTTAGCAGTTGTTAGCAGGGAGTGTGTGGAGGAATGGATCCCTGAAGTAGCCCCCATATACGTAATCTCCAATCATATGGTAGTTTCATTTTCACCCTTCTTCTATCTCCTGCTAACAATCGATCAGACGGTCTTTTCACCCTGACCTGGCCGTGCATTGCGCCGTCTAGGGGATCTAACAAATGGAGCGACCAAGAGACGCGCTCATTGAAACATCAGGAAAACCAGAAATTAGTTGGGGTTCCACTTGTTCGATGCTCTGGGGGCTTTGGGCAAGCGTCGGTTATCCTTGCGCAACACTTCAGTAAGTCGCAGCCTCGCCGTGCCCCCTTACCTTAGTCTTCCCTGGCTACCCTTCAAGAAGTATTTAAGGCGCCTCAACAGACATACAGAGACTTTTCGTAATTTCCAGTAAGGTCGCTAACGGGTAAGGGAGAAGCAAGGAATCTGGCTGTGTGAATGAACAGTCGTGTGGGAGGGTTGAAGATTTGTAAGAGAAAGTTGATAGGGGTCCTGGTCGAAGACACTAACCCTGAACCCTAAAGAGCTGAGATGGTGGAAGCCAGGTACTGGGCAGACAAGTACTGCCTTCTCTGGGGTTCTCGGAGGCCATCAGGGGTCAGGGATTTCTGAAGAACTTTGACCGACCATAGTTGTTTTTTGTGGGAGCGAGCTTCCGCATTCTGGTGTATCTGATCTGGGTACTGCCCCCCTGTATGATACATATAGATGTATATGTACATGCGTTTGTATATTTATATATAGAGTTGTAACAGGAGGGGCACGGCATCTCAGATTTGTTGCATGTGTCCGTGATTCCTTGTTCTTTCCAGGCCGCCTCACTACGATACAAAGATGGCGAAGGAGGCCATTGAAAGCATGCTTTACGCAGGGGACTCAGCATAGGCTGCTGTCAGGAAACTTAAGCTAAGGGAACTTGAATTGTTATTGCATATCCATTCATATTATGCTAGCTTGATTTAAATTCATGACCAGCAGCTCCACAGTATGTCATGTCCCAGTGCCGGGAGGCAGCGTCCTTTCAGGGCCGAACCTGCTTTCACTTAGTAACCAAGGCTGTTCCCTTCCATTGCGTGCTGGCAATTTTGATGTCCGGAGCTCAAAGTGAAAATTGTGATTGCAGTGTGATCCCTGTCCCCGGGGTGTGTCAGAGTAAGCTAGGATCCAAGCAGTTTGGCAATGCAGCCTCTGTTTAGACACAGCTATTGAGCTGGGAGCTTAACAGAAGAGGGAAGTTGTAGGCTCAATGGAGCTTCTTTCGTCAGGTACGGACAGACCTGCGTCTTTCCCTCCAACCCTCTAGGAGGAGTGCTGCCGGGATCAGGGAGACAGGGCGAGTCGGAAGGGTCTTATGGCTTACCCGAGTGATCCAAATATCCAATACACCCACTATATGCAATGGTTAAGGGTTTATACGGCTTGGAGATCCAAATAGCCCAGCGTATTACCCCAATATTGGACAATCAGATGGAAAAGCAGATGGAAATTTAAAGGGAATTTAGGCTGAGTTTAGGAGTTCATAGGGATGCATAGGGATCTAAATATCCCAATGCAGGTAGTATTCATAGACTTTAGGGCCCATTGTAGCTGCTATTTGTGTACTTGGATCCCAAGCGTGATGTAGAGATTGCAAGGCAGGATATCGGACTACTAAAGTTACTCAGTGGTTGGGTTGTTGCGTAGAAGTTGCGCTTCGTCTTTGGTCAGATGAGTCGTATTTAAGACTAGCTAGTAGAGGAGCAACTGGAAAATAATGCAGACGTTGATCTCCTTCAGTGCAGTGCCTCTTTGCAGGGGATCCTTATAATTAGTCGTATGTGGGAGCAGTATTGGCATATATTTACGGGAAAAAAGACGAAGAGTCCACCTACGAGATCAAGATATGATAGTTACCGATTTAGGAGATCTACGTCACTGCCTGGTTGTCAGACATCTCCCTTGTGGAGACATGTTGCGAAGGAGATCTGGGGGACTTAGTGGACCAGGCGCTGGAGTGCTGTGGAGAGTAGCAGGAGGTTGCCTAACCTAGCGCCCAGAACCCCGGCTGATAACCCGACCAGAAACACAAGAACTTTCTCTTCACCTGGGTTGCTGCTACGGAACTTGAATTAAGTTCCTGTAATAAGGGCACCGCATTATTGACTGTATACCCATAATCATTATAAGGTATCTTACATCAAGTTCCTCAGCAGCAACCCAGTCATAGCTGTGGCTCGGATGATGTGTCATGCGGATGCACTAGCCAGGCGGATGTTGTCATCGTCCGCTTATTTGCACACTCCTCCAACGCGTGAATGTTTTCAGCACAGGTGTGTTCTCCCAGGTGTTCAAACGACTGTTGAGGTGCAGGACGTAGCAGAGCCACATGCCCATCTGTTTGTTACCGTCAACTCTGCAAGCTTTTTTCGGCAACATCTTTAAGTACCGCCTGTATAACATAGTTCTTAATGCAGACCCCTGTAATCTCCTCATGAATCTCGTATATCCCTAATTTTCTTGAGTCCCCTTTGTTGAGATGTCCCTTGGATACTATCCCCACTCCGTAAAGACTGCTGACAGGCAGTATCCAGAACACCCTTTAAATCATAAACCTAATCCCAGCTTCCATATACTGCTAATTCCCACGGTCTTTTCCATTTGATGCCCCATTTTCCTGTAGCCTAAATAAAGCCCCTATAGTCAGTATGTCCCTGTTTTGCAAAATCGGGGGACCCCAATATCGATACCAAAAAATTCTAATCCTCATATTAGAGACCCAAAAGTATTCATAATTTTGGGAGACCACCATAATAGCCCATATGTACCCCATGTTCTGCAGGGATCTGGCTATACGCCGGGCCTCTTGCAGCAGTTCATCCCGCAGATCACACGCGAGTCCGCACCTCATCCCTTTGGGCTTTTTTCCCAAGTTGTGGGTGCATTCAGGGGCGTTTTCCCTAGTGCGCACCTCATACTTTGGGCAAGCATGTGCATAGGTTTGGGTGTACAAGGAATTTGCAACACTCCAGGCACTGAACTGGCGCCTGGTTGGAAGGGGGGGAATTACAAAACGACATTAATTATTGCTGTAGTTCTCAGTTTTAGTACATGAGTGCCGCGGTTCCTGGGGCCATTATTTCCTCATTCCCTACGAATCAGCAGACAGAAGATGTGTCAGGGTAGCGTTGGGACAGCCCGCTGAAAAACGGGCTTCTGAATATTGTACCCTTCCTCGAGGTTGCTATAAGAAAGACTTCAGTATATTTGGGGATAATTAGGGGTACCCAAACCCTTATAAACCTTGAACCTTATACTCTAAACCCTTGAGTCCAAAACCCTAAATCGCGAGGTCGACTTGGATGTTCTTCCTGCTCTTTCTTCTGCTGGTAATTCTGTGGGCCGGGATCTTAGCCTGACCCTTGAAAGGATAGTTGCACGGGTGTAGGGTTTAGGTTACAGGGTGCAGGGCCTCAACAACGCGAGGTGGACATTTGGTGCCCCGGGATCTTGTCATAATTCAAAGAGGTCAGGCATTTGAGGCATGTACAAGACGAGAATCAGGGTCAAGTTTGTCATCGATGAGACTCCGGGACTTGGCGAGGCAAGTTTTTCTTGAGCTTTGCGTATTCTGAAAGGGCCTCGCGAAGACTTGGACAGGAAGCGGGCAAGTGCACTTTGGTTTGCAAGTGATTGGCTTCTGAATGCTCAATGCATCAAGCCGAAACACAAGTGCCCAGAATATGGCGCCTGCCGGAGAAGTGCAAGCAGCAGTACTCAGAGCACTGGCAAGAGAATCTGGTTCAGCCACCAGGGGACGCCTTCAGCATCTTTAAAGGTGGTGATCCCAAGTTCCCTGGTTGGCCCCAAGCTTCTGTACATTGCCAGTGCCTGCAGCACGGCAGAAAGCCCCGGAGTTCTCGGAAGAAAGGACCCACAAGTGGGTCAATAGTCGCCAGAATCTTGGCACGCTTACCCTTAAGCTGACCTCTGCAGTTGCCTTGCGTGCTAGAAATCGTATGAAAGCTTGCTTTCAGACAGTCTGGTCTTGGCCAGCATGGATGCTCGGGGAGACTGTACGCTTTATAAACGCGAGCACTATTACCTTAGTCAGCCTGGATGCTCGGGGAGGTGGATGCTTCAATATCATGAACACGCTCGGCCATTATGTCGCGAAATATTTGGCAAACGGGTGGTTGGTGCGCTTTCTAAGTTATGGCAGGACTGCACCACGGGATACCCTCGTTGGTTGTTCACGCCTCGACATGAGCGTTTTTGATCCTCTATAGAACCCCCTTCAGGAAGTTTAGACTGTAGCCTACGGTTGCCTAGAAACTTGACATGTCGGACGGCTGCACCTTCAGGTTTCATCAAGGTTTGAGGGTTTCTCGTAGACATTAATTACATTGGAGTAGCAGTTATTCCTAACCTCGCTTATTCATTGGATCTACTGTACTGCCCAGTTCTAAACGCAAAACCCTAAGTCCTAAACCTTTACCGCGCCTTCCACAGCAAGGTCTTATGGAACGTTCTCTGGATCATTGGTGGCACCGTTGGCACTGCCTGGGATTTGATGGCCACTGCCCTAGAGCAGCGTTGCAGGCAAGATATCATACGGCTGACCCGGGTGAAGGGTTTGGAGTTTGGGGGGTTTAGGGTTTTAGGGTTAAGGGTTTGGGGTTAGGGTGCTTAGGATTTTAGGGTCCGGGATTTAGGGGTCTAGGGGTTTTTGGGTGATATTATTACCCCAATAATGGAGAACGGTTTTTCAAAATAGGGGACTTCTGGGGCGAGTGTATGGGGATCTTAAACGCACTGTGCGGGTCCGCTCTCGGGATTCGATAGCGAAGATCTCCCATATAGGACCCCACTCGAAGGCCCGACCCAAAGCTTTAGCAAATTCCTATAGTATAGGGTTTAGGGTTTAGGGTTTAGGTATAGGAATTTGCTCAAGCTTTGGGTCGGGCCTTCGAGTGGTGGGATCATCCAGCGCCCCTAAACCCTGAACCCTAAACCCTAGAACCTAAAGTCTTCACACCACGACCTCCAAGAAGAGACCGATAACATTGGACATCTTTCAGCCCATGGGATCCCCTTGGCTCCATACTGTCCATAACAAGGGTTTAGGGTTTACCATTCAAGTATAGTGTAGTCAGAGTCCACTGATTGGGGACCAGATTTCCCTCAACTTTGTGGAAGCGCACAAGACATGCTAACACCACAACCGCAAATATTGTACCCTTGATCAACAAAACCTCAAGAGTCCTAAAGCCTGAACTGAGCCATAATCTAAACTTCTTAAGGGGGCTATATACGGGATAGGGGTTATTAAGGGGGATACTAGGATTAGACTATGGCTCAACTCAGAATCCTTAAGCAGGCATAAAGTTTGGACACGAAGCCCTAAACGTAACTGTGTGCAGCCACAAAGCCTCAGCTCAAAAAATGCTGAAGTGAGCACAGCTTGTTTTACTGTAGGGGCCTAAACACTTACCAATATCATGGTCCTGGTTTCCTTGTATAGGTATAGTGTAGGCTACCTCAAATAGACCTCAATACCTCAATCATGTAGGCCCTACGTTACATGAGCCATAGTCTAAACTCCTAGTATCCCCCTTCATAGCCCCCGCCTATATAATCTGCCTTCAAGGAGTTTAGACAGAGCTCTCATAGTCTCTGAGCCAGTTCAACCATCAACGTTGAAAGCTCCTAGGTTGCAGTCTGTTGTCCCCGATGGAAGAGGCGACTTCGCAGTTTTAGGGGTTAGGGTGTAGGGTGTAGAACCCAAACTACAATGCAAGATCTAGGGCCTAAGGTTTAAGGCCGGGGTTTAGGGTAAGGATTCTTCAGGGCTCCACTTTATGGAAGAGAGCGGGATAAGAAGAAGAGAGCGGGATGAGAAAGAGCGATGTTTAGGGCGAGGCATGGCTAGGGCATGCACAGAAAAGCATGACACTCCTTTTGTGATCCCCCTCCTTGTTTACTATGTTTGTTTGGGGATCCATGGATCATTCCCCCTTTACAGTAACTGTTTACCGCAACAGGTAACAGGAGCTTTAATCGCCTCCAACAAAAAACCCTTGAAGGACAGGTACTGTACGTAAGGGAGAATGACCCACGGGAACTGCCAGTTTCAGCGTATACTCTAGCCAGCCTTCTCCCCTTGTCGTAGAGGACAGCAGGTTCTATGTGTTCAAAGGCCCTTCCCTAAACATTGAAACTCCGAACCCCAAAGTCAACACCAGGCTCATGGGCTCAAAGGTTCTTTCGATGCCCTCTTGAGGCTTGGGTGTTGGGGATGGTTTTCCATGGGAGTCCCTGTTGTAGTTTAGCGAACATGTCCCTAATAAGGAGCCCGTGCCCATTAAATTATCTAGGAAGTATACCCTAAACCCTCTATATTAATATATATATATATAGAGATATATGTGTATATCTATTTATGTATGTATATATACTCCATGAACTTATCTAAGAAATATTGGGCCCTAGCTCACCTGAGCGTGCAGGAAGCAGCCCAGCAAGGACGAGATCATGCAAGCCCTGAAGCGAGGGGAACGGACGCAGCTCAGCTGACAGAAGCCGTCAACTACTGGGGTGCTGTTAAGGAACTTAACTCAAGTCACTATATTTGGGAAACCCTATTTGTACTATATATATATATACACACCCCATTATGGTAACTGAATTTAGGTTCCTCAACAGCAACCCAGACCATAGTCGAAACGAGCCGGGCATCTTGCCAGACTAACCTATGAATTTCAGATCAAAGATTGGGTCCCCAAACCATCCTTTTGGCGGCTTCTTGCCTCCCCCAATGTCCCTAAGTCTGTCAGTTGTCCATCGCTGGTCATCATGCGCTTGCCTACTTGAGGCTGAATGGCTATACCATTGATGTCGCCAGCAGTGCCGTCCCAAGCACGGGCTTGCTTATGCTTATACCATGATCTCATCATTGAGGTTCCCATGAAATTTGGTGAATCCAACCCTTGTTGAGCCGCGTAAGGGCATCCGACTCTTGCACCGTCTGCTAAGCTCATTTTGCAGAACTGAGTTGTTGCTGGGCCTGTCAGTGATTCAAGTCCAAATCCCCTCGCCTCGCCCAGCGATGCTCTGGGACGAAGCCTGGGGCCACATCGAGAGCACCTTCCCGCCGGCGTCGTACAGGCAGGCCGTTCTAAGTAAGGGCAGTGCTTGGCCATGACCCTGCGAGCCGCCAGTGCTGTAGCCAAGTTCCGCAGCTTCGTTTGGGCCCTCTAGCTTTCCTGAAGTTTAGGGGCAAACTTAGCGGATAGATTCCTTGGCTTCATAGGCAAAGCAGCAAGCTGCAAGGCAAACCGCAGGCAAGTAGCATCCAGTCGATTCCATGCGCGGCTTTCGCTGGGCCTTCCGAGGGCGCGCCTTGGCTGGCTCTGGGGCCCTGGCCACTGCAGCTGCAGGGACTGCGTCACACTGGCGGCCAGCTCAGGAGCAGGGCACCTTTCACAATTCGGAGCTGCCAGGTCGCTTTGATCGCTGGGCCTCCGGACATGTGCAATGCGAGGGCCCGAAGCACAAGCTTACCGTTGCGGAGCTGCTGGCGCTGAAGGGGACGCGGCAGATTGTGCTTACAACTGCCTTCGACGAGTGGACGGCGCGCGCAGCTGAGCAGGCTGGCGTGGACATGATCGTCGCTTGGGGCAGTTGCCAGGAACATAGTAAGTACGTAGTCCAAGCGGTGCGACGCGGAGCACCGAACACTCTCATCGGGACTGGGATCAACCCTGGAGCGTACGATGCTTGGCGAAGAGTTAGTTCCCGTATCAAGGTCCCAAGTCCCAAGTGCGTGTTTGAAAAGTGCTTGATGCTAGAAGTGAGTTGTCAAAGCTGCCCCTAGCACGGAGTATTTTAAATGCAGGCACCCATCAGCCCCTCAAATTGTAATCTCCATAATCCGCTTAACACCTCAGGGCACTGATTATAAACAGTTTTGTGTAACGCAGAAGCAGTTCTGACCTCTATGACAGTTGGGAGTTACTCATATCATATATCATTCTCAGGTAATCCTCAAGGGGGGCTCATATAAGCCATATGTAATCCTAACATATTTGCTAAGGTCCATTAGAAAGCTTCCATATGCTCGCAACCCTGAAGCATGTACACCCTAACCAATGACGCAATCTATGAGCCAATTCACAGGGGCCTGAGAGTGCCGCAATTCTTCAAGATAGCTTCCGAAAATTGAGGTCCCCCTATCTACCCCCAAATTCATTATAGTCCTTATTATGAGTACTTACACCGCCAAAAGGACGCCTAGAATTTTTGGAAACCCCAAAACATCAACCCTTTTCAAGCAGACAAAGGAGAGCCAAGAGGCGGCCATAAAATTAGCGAATGAGATGCGGGCAGTGGGTACCGACATCATCTACTGCTCCGGGCTAGATGCTGGGATTTAACATATGCGGGGTTTAGGATTTAGGGTCCAGCATATGGTTATGGGGGGGGGGTTCCCAAAATTGGCCGTACTCTTTTGGGGGTCGCCATAATATGGGTTAAAGCATTTTAGGGTTTATATTGGGGTCCCCTTACTTGGGAAATGCTCACCAAGACTCCTAAGGAACCCTGTACACACTCACCAGAACTCCATAACATCCTACCTTACATAAGTTTATGATCTACGGAATGTCGAGTTTAAGGTCTGTATAGGGTGCAGGTTTGTAACCCTAAATCATGAACCCTAAGCCCGGGTCTAGGGTTTAAGGGTTCGGCTAATTCTCCAGCCTTGCTCCTGGGTGGTTCTTTTTAGGTTCAGGACCTTTCACGGTTTAGGGTTAATATAGGGCTTAATGCAGGGGTTATATAGGGATAGTGGAAAATAACATGGAAACTACTGTTTAGGGTTTAAGTGTTTTCGGTTTAGAGTCTAGGGTGTAAATTTTCCAAAACGACCACTGTGGCGCTGGCTGCAGCAGGGCGTTTCTCAAATTGTTCTCAATGAATCCTTACCAGGGACCCTGCAAAATTCCTTTGTAATCCCTGCGCATCCCTAGCCCACCCAAGGGCCCGCTCATTTTGAGAAGCCCCAAACGAAAGAACCGGGCTTCGTATTCTCGCTACATTATATTATAATTTCATATGGTACTATTCTGAGTGTCCCTTTCTTCCCTAGCATGCAGTGGCCTAGGTTCCTGAGAAGTTTGCTGGACTGGCCAAGCAACATTTCCCTTGCTGCGGGCATGTGGGATACCTGCCCGTGAACGATACATGGTTCGGTGGCCCACGAGGTGTCGGCAAAACTGCAGATGAGGCGAAGAAGGTCTACGACGATGTCATGGCTCTTGAGGCCATGCCCAGACATGGGCTATACCCGGGTACTGAATAATTAATCACATGCATAAAGCCTTCCCTTTTTTTGCCGGTGCATGCGTTGTTGCTTCTGTAGGCCGCTGGCTGCATTGCCGTGGAGATGGAGTGCGTCCCCGCGAAGGTTGCAGCAGAGATTTCCAAGCGCACCAAGATGCTCGTGTTCTCCATGGGTAGTGGCCCTGAATGTGACGGCCAGTTCATTTTCTCAGAGGATCTCATGGGCACCAACACAGGCCGCTATCCGCGCCACTCCATCACCTATGCCAATCTAATGGCCGATGCTGTCCAGGCATTGAGTCAGTACTGTCAAGACGTCCGACGCGGGGCTTACCCGGCAGCAAAGCACTTTGTCAAGATCAAGGACGAGGAGTTCCAACGCTTTATGGCCTCTCTTAGCTGAAAGGCCTCTTAGAAAATCGATTGCATAATAACGCCCCAGGGCGCCACGCAGGATAAAAGGCCTGCCGCAGAGGATGTTGAGCTCTCATCGTGCTTTTATTGGGTATGCCTGGCCAGGGTTTGTCTGATGCGTGCAAAACTTGAGATTCGTGAAGGCAAATCGTTCTGGCATCCTGAAACGGTTCGGCGATGAAGTCGTGTGATTTCAACGTGCTAGGTATTCCCGTTTTTTTTTTGCTGGGGAGCCTCACCTATCGCGAGCCTTAGCTACAAGGAAGCAGTGAAGTACCCAGCCCCAGGCAATGCATCATACATCTAACGCCCCCATGTTAATGTACTCCTGCTCTCAAAGCCCCATCTTGATCTCCTTGAGTCCCGCAGTCGGGAACACGCTGCTACACTGTACTGCTGCACCCCCGGAACCCCTTTCCGATTTCAAGATGTCTCTGAACATAAGTAATGATCGTACATTACGGCCGCTGGCATAGTCCTCCTACTGTCCCTACAGATTCCAGCCCCCAAAGTGTAGATCCGCTTAAAGATGGAACATTACATTCGCGTAGCCAGAAACCACAATGTTTCAGCAGTCCGTCAATACTTTGTTTGATGTCCTGAGGCCATTACATCTGAAACCAGATTCCAAGACCTTCAACCAGAAACCCAAATCCCTAGTTCGCAATCAGCCCTCATCCTTGAACCCTGAACTTAAGCCGTGGTCCTTGAACCCTGAGCCCAAGTCCTACACCCTAGGCCCTAGACTTTGATTCCCAAACCACAGCCCTAAACTTGGATTCCTAACCTAAATCACCAAACCCTAAAGCCCAAAACCCTAAACTTTGATCCCAATCCCTCAACCCTGGACCCCTGAACCATATAAATCCTGGGGCAGGTTTGAGCGACACCCAGCGCTGGTTTCAGTGGCTCCACTGCTGAGACCAGCGAGTCGGCGGCCTACCTACAGGAAGCCTTTTCTCCTGTTTCCTTAGGAATGATCCTTAATAAGAGTAATAACAGTAAGAATAGTAAGACTAGCAATAATAGTGACTATGACCCCCTCGGATTTATTCACTATAGTAATTATGTTTAGGTCTATGGGGTTGTAGTTTCGGTGGCTTAGGGGTGGAGGAGTGTGGGATTGCACAAGGATCAGTGAATGTGGGTAGATGAGTTGCAGGAGGTTGCGGTACGTTGGAGAATGTTGAGCAGCGTAGAAAGTACAGGAATCCTGGGTGATACAGCGGGTTGTTTGAGAAGGGCATGCTATCGACAGGAGGTTTTGGTTTTACCGAGATACAGATTTCACGGTTTGCAGATAGTTGAGGCTTTCAAAAGTCTTCCCAGCATATGGCACAAACCAAACCGATCTGATCTTGAGAAACCTCGCGGAGAACTGGTTGCGCAGCGGATCCAGACACGGATATGTGCCAAGTATGCAGGATGTGCAATGACTGCCTCGGGTTTGCAAATCGAGGGTTCCTCCTATACAACCCCCCCGAACGGTGAGGACCCGGAAGACTTTTACGGGCCACCAATAAATGCACGTGCTGAAGCTGACCAAGGTCGTCCAAACACCGCAAGGGGCGGTGGAGCAAGCCTCGCTTAGCCGGGTTGAGCTTGAACCTGGGGGATGTCCTCCTGTTTTTTCAAAGTTTCGCTGCATGAGCTATAGTCTAAACTCCTCGAAGGGGGTTACATTGGGGATGATATAGGGGTGTCTTATAGGGCTTGTTAAGGGGGATACTTGGAGTTTATACTATGACTCATATATGTAAGGTTTTCAAAATTGTTGTTCCTTGTTGGGTGCGCTAGGGGCCGTACTGACACGGGAATGCAAAATTAGATCATGTTTTTTGACCATTGCCCCCATGATTCCTAGGGGCTCTCCATATGTTGGGAAATCCCCAGATGGGCCCCCAACCGTTTGGTCCTTTTTTCAGCTTGGTTTTCATGATGCCATGTGTAGTACGGCTGTCCAGGCTATGTACAGGTTCCAGATGTCTCATGACAGTCCAGATTCATGACAGCGCACTCATACTCTTCATGCGATCTTTTGAGCAGAGCTTGGAATGCGCATTTTCTAGAAATTTGGATGCGTCTGGGTCACAATTCAGAATAGTTCTCCACGGGGAAAGCATGCTGAATAGGTTTCCCAGACCAGGGAGGCCCTCTACACTTGATTAAGATTCTGTATCGCACTCACAAGAAGCCCCTCGACCCGTCATCCCACTCCAAACTACAGCGCCTCACGGAAGCTTGAAATGGGGCCTGAGAAAACTATAGAAAAAAGGCTTATATGACTCGCCACAAAGATGCCCTAGGTGGAAAAGCACTGAAAACGCAACCTGGTTATAGCCTATATCACCCTACAGTCAGTTACCATTCTAGATAAAACGATTGTTCGTAAAGTGCCTGGAACTCCTGTCCCGCCACAAAGATGCCAGACTCCGAAGAAGCTGCTGCTCAGGGTTTGCGGGCCGCCGTGGGACCCTTATCATTTGGGGTTGAGGGCTAAGGATTCACAATTATTTTTGCGGCTTAGCGTTTTGAGTTTGGGTTGTCTAGGATGTATTTAGAGTCTGGGGTAGTAGGGTCTAGTGGTTTTACGTAAGCAATGGCTGGCCATGGTGCGTATTCCTTGGTATTCGCCAAGAATGATATAGTGATGGAGGATGAGGATCATATGGCTGCGGAGAGCGAAGTTTTGATCCTCCTGTTGATACCAAGAGCCCCACATGGCTGTCTTCCTCGAGAAGTCATTCCCAAGCTATAAGGAATTCGGGGTCAGGCAGGTCTTTTAGTGTCAACTGTGCCGAGGAGAAGTGCTTTTAAGGCCTGTGGCCTGCCTTAATGATAAAGGCCGTCAAAGTAGGATCCCATTATAGTCATATGAAAGGTCCTTATCACAGGGGTTGGGGTAACCAAAATCCCCCTGCCATGTAGTATCCAGACGGAGAGTGCCGTATCCTTATGTGTACTTAGTTGAACTCCGCTTTGGGTGCCTAGGCATCGAAGCCCAAGACTGTTGCCCAACACCCGGGTCAGTGGAAGCCTCCCAGTAAAGTTTACGCAGATCGTCAGGCAGTGATTTTTCCAAATTTATCCAAATTTAGGAAGTCTTTAGTGTTTGTGCTTGCTCGTGTTGCCGGAGTCTTTTTGTTCTATGCCATTTGACGCCGGTCTGTACTTATCGCGCAGCCCTTGTAGCCTCGTGACGCTGCAGAAGTTGGAACAGGGCCGATGCCGCCGACCCCATTTACCTGGAGCTTGATAGGAATCATCCCTCTAGTTACTAGGTACTTTCTCCGTGATCCTCACATGTGTGGCCAATGACTCAATTCAAGTGTATCTTCATCCCAGAAAAACTGATACCTTTTGCATTACTTTAATTACTCTCGAACCCTGGAACCACAAACCCTGTATAATCTGGCATTACCTCAATAGACCTTCAAGCCTGGTTCAAGGCAGAGGCCGGCAATGAGGCTCCCCAGGCCCCCACGCCTGGAGCTCCGGTGCCCGACAATGTGGCCCGCAACTTCCTCAAGGCGGATTCTGGGGGTGGGCGCTTTAAGGTTCGAGGGTCTATGTTTTTAGGTACCTGAAATTTTTTGTAGAGGGTTTGAAGGTCAAAGATTTAGGGCCTACAGTGGACGCACAACTTCAACAAGATGGACTCTGAACCTCGTGAGGGACTTCGGGATGTTGTAGAAAGCCTTTCCCGGCTAATTACCTGAGTTGTTGCTGCAGTGCAAGCAAGTCATCCCTTTAGACTGGCCGCGTAGCAGCTAGCACTGTGAATACTTGAAGTGGCAGCTAGCTGAAAGTCTGCAACATCTCTGTCGTTTCCCCCCGTAGGTCACAGGGCCGCTCCTTTGTAGTCCAGCAGGTCTCCGCCATGGGAGCATTTGGTTGCTGCGCGTGCAACATAGCCATTGTAAGATAGCTTGGTTCTAGGCTTCAGGCAACAACACAAATCCCTTCAACAGTCAAGCGGACCTTTCAATCACCTAGGACTTGTGACATCCGAGCTGTCCCTTTTAATAGGAACGCACATAGCTGCGTGGAGTCAAGCAGCCGCGCAAGACATGCCTGGTATCTGGAGGCACTGAACGAGGAGTATATCCTGGGCCAGGGGGCCAAAGCCTGGGACCCAGATTGTAACTTGAAAGCGTGAAGGAAGCATTGCAAACCTCAGTCCAGCAAGCCTTATGTAGCTTGAGGTCTGGGCGGATAACAGGTTGAAGTATAGTCCAAGATGTTGTTAATCAATCAGCAAGTTTCAGGTGGGCAGCTTCCCGCATACCAGACTTATGTAGGCCCTAATTAGCCCTAGTTCGTGCAAGGAAAGCCTGCACCACAGCCTGTTAGCCTGTGGAACATACTTCACTACTTAGGTTGCCTAAGGCGCTGGCACGACCGGGGATTCGGACAGTTCGGATGCAATCAACAGCAGGATGCGGTCAGGTTGTTTGGCGGTTAGGTTCCGGAGCAAGGCATAGCTCTGAACAATTTAGGGATTTAGGGTTTAGGGGTTTAGGGTTAATTCATGTGAGAATGCTTCTAGGACATGGCAGGCATGAAAGATTGCTAGAAGTCAGAACCCAGTGAGGGCTTCTCATTGGGCTACACATGCCAGAAGTCCACGCGGCACCTCCTAACCAGCTAGAGACCCAAAATAAATCCCAAATGCTAACCCTAGACTAGAAACCTAGCTACTTACAGGGACACGAAGACAGAAGCATTCGCAGAAACCCTGAACCCTAACTCCCAACCTTAGACTAGAAACCTAGTTAGTTACAAGAACACCAAAGCCGAAGCATTCGCATCAGCCTGCATGGCTTGTCAGGTTGGTGACTTCTTCGACAGCGAGGGGTATGCGGACCGACGACACTCCCAGCCTGTATAGCCTTTTGGGCTTAGGGCAGTTTAATTTGTAGGGTGTGGCGCTGAGGGTTCAGGAACGGTTGCATGTCCGCGGATTGTATAGCGCTTGTGTGCCACATGTTAGCTATAGCTCCTCAAAGGAGGCTATATAGGGGACAATATAAGGTTCAGGGTTTATGGTGTACGTGTAGGGGACATAGTCTAAAGTCCTTGAAGTGGCTTATTTTGGGGAATATAGGGGACTATCATAGGCCTTATTCAACGGGATGCGGGAGTGTAGGCTACATTTATGTATATATCTCATGTTGCTAGAAGCCATAGCACTATGAGCAGGAGAGGCGATTACTCTTGAAAGGCAACTTATACTCCTCCTTATTGTTGTAAAGGTGGTGTACCCTCGTAGACGGTCTGGGAGCTAAGACCGCCTTTGTATATGAGAGTGGTCGACATTATCATCACAAGCATCCCCTTGGGTATGGCTCTTGTGACAGGGACCGTGTGTTTGTAGGCAACATGTTGCAAAAGTGATGTTCCAGTGATCTGAGGGCCAGAGTCCCTTTAAAAGTCCTGCCTTTACCACTGGGACCCGAAAGACAAGCAACATCATCCAAGGCTCCTTGCAGAAGTTCCCATGGTCCTATGTAGCCCTCAGATACCCCTTATAGAAATTTCACCCATGGGAGACTCCCCTCCTGTAAGTGGTCCTAACAACAAACCGCGTGCCCGGCAGGATCCCCTGTCGCCCTTCGAGGAGAAGGCATTTACACACTATGGGCATATGGGGTTTCCCAAAGGGACCATGTTGGGGTTCCAATGCTGAGGATTCTAGTTTCGGGGTCCATTTTGGGCTCCCCGTATTTTGGGAAAGTACCACATGCACAGAAGATCGACAGATTGCTACTGGTTACCACTGCAAAAAGTGGGATGGGTAGCTATCCCTGTTGGTACCAGTACTTTAGCGCTATTCTCCTTATAGCGCCGGTACGGTTTTCCTTTGGTTACTCGCATCATCTCTGTGTTCCCATTGAAAAGCAGGTGCGGGCCGCAGGAAATAAGAAGGAAGCCGTCGAGGCGATTGCCAAAGACTGGGGCCTGGAATATCCCTGACAAGGACGCATGTGCATCCATGCTGAGGGGGTTGCAAACAAGTTCCCAGGAGGTAGAAGGATTGTATATATTCCTTGTGGACTCGAATTTTCGCATTGTCCAAGGTGTAGACTTTCCTTGCTTTTGACGGTGAAGAAGTGGCGTGATCGTTCACCTTCCCGTGTACTGCGCTCACAGTGCATCATAGTGGGACTGTAGGACTGGAGTGTTCGGCATGCTTTGTCCACTTGTGTGTGTGGCTTGTGCTCTTGTGCATTACTCTGTTGGCTGCAGCTGGGTACTTACATCTGCTCCTTGATTCCAAGCTTCTGGGCATCTTTGTTCTGACCCTTTTGTTTTGTTGCGCTCTCGTGCCTTGCATTGCATTACTCACTACAGTATAGTTGTACGAAGGTCCTGTAAGGTATGGGAAACTCTGGCCCAGCAGATATTTGGATGACTGAATGACACAGCTGATAGAGCAAACACAACAAAACGCCCCCTTGCCACAGGATCCGTCACCTCTCTGCACAGACAGCGAGCTCGTCCGCTAATTTGGTGCTTAAAGGGGAAGCTGGGGAGGACACATAGCTACTATTCCAAGGCTTGCATAAACATTATTGTGGAGATCCGCATGAATCCACCCCCCCACCGTTACGGTGTCTTAAGCGCCAGTATGGTAAAGTAGTTTCAAGCAGGGCTGGCCACAAGACTGTCCTGCTCTGCGCGTCTCACCGACAACAACGTACAACGCGAAGCCGCACGAAGCAGGACTTGCGTATTGCGTAGGTGATATCATGCTCAGGAAAGTGGGTACCCCCTAATTCGCTTGTAGATTGCTTCCCTAAAAAGCCCAGTGATGTGATACGATGCCATTGCTTTCATGGATCTTGAGGCTTCAGCCACCTTTTCAATGCACGCATCACGTAAACGCCTTAAGCGTTTGTCACTTTCTGTGCGCATCCATAGCCCAGCTGGCGGAAGCCTTGCAGGTCGCCTGCGAAGCAGGTTTGCGCTGCAAGCTTTGCCCTGCATACTTACCTGCCCCTAGGGCTCAAATGGAGAAATCCCAAAAAGTAGGCGCTACATGTATTTATAGTCTTGAGTCTTGAGGGTCTAAAAGTAAAGTAGAGGTTCCTTATGGGCCTACAACCCCAGGGCACGGTTGGTATGGAGACTTCGCACCAGAAGGCCAAAGTCTGCTGGAGCATCGGGGAGTTGACATAAACTTTCAAAAAGAAGCATGTCGCGATCTCCCAAGCTTGCCAGCTAGCTGCTGGGGAATCTGGCAGGATGCGCGTGTGCGCCCACCACCAGCGGAAGCGCCACGATGTTGCACTGACCAATTGGCTGCAATGCTTCAAAAGGAGCGATGTATTTGGCACACGACTTCAATGCAAATGATGGGCGTGACATCTCTGTCTTCAACCCCCATATGAGATGCTTTGATCAGGGAATCTTCTAGCGATCATCAAATATCCTGGCAATCGAAAAGCTGCTGGAACACTATCTGCTGTATATCGGCTATTCCGAGCCTTACTGTTTCATAGCAGGGAATAAGGGAATGCACTCCTTATTTTACCCCTGTATAACATACTTGCTTCTTCCGGACTACGAACCAGTAAGCAGCAAGCCAAGCAGAGTCTTTGGGACTGTCTGGTACTTCGATGCAACACGATTTGCCAGTTGGCTTCCTCTAGAGGCTAGGATGCAGGATGCAACCCCAGGCTTCAGACAGAATAACTTCCCAAGCCCATGAAATAGATTGTAGTCATGCAGTTGAAGTCAGCACACGGCCCAGTGTTCTATCTGAACCCGGGGCTTACCATCAGCAAGCTAAGCACACGATCAGTTGCTTTAGCTCTCCAACCCCCCGCCCACCCTAAAGAAGCCGCTGAAAACGCATGAAGCGCCGCATCTATGTACCGCCAGAGATTCATGCTGCAAAAGGAATGACTACAGTAGTCGGCGTAGTGAAGATAGCTATGCTAATCATACTTTCACACTGTCCTCTTCTTTCTGCCCATGGCGGAGATCGGCCGCACGTGCCGAGCGTAGTCCTGGACTCAGGTGGATCTTTGCGAAAGCTCGGGGTTCCAAATATTATGGTAGATCATGGTATATTATTGTATACTGTAGTAGATGAATCTGTTCGAGGAATCCCCAGAACTGAGGGAGGTTTTGTCATTTGCACGCCCAAGGCTTGAGAAAGGCTAAGCGATCCCTACACCCTCTTATGAAGGCTGGCAAAAGTCAGTTGAAAGTTCAGTGTTCCAGTTTCATATTCAGTCTGTCATCATACAAAGTAGCCCTGAGTCACCATTCTTTCAAATTTTCATGTTGCCCAGTACTAATTTGCATTTCTCATGGGGGGATTGTAAGACGATACAGGATACTAATCGGATACTAGGTACCAGCGCCAGCGGAAATCTAATGCTATGAAGGTACTATACATTGTATAATGATACTATGTTACGCAGTGGTATCATATTACATGATAGTATCTATTATGGAGTCCTGATGTGGGATCTTTGTCCATGATCGAACATTTTCCATGACAACAGCTTGCTCGCTCGATTTCTAAGATGTGCATTGGGATCCTTGCTAAGTACTAAGATTGCAGATCGCACCCTGCAGGTCAAACTATATGGGGAGTTCCGCAAACAATGGCCTACAAACATAGGCTCCAATATGACATAGTCCTTGTTGAAGAGGCTCCCAAACAACTTCTGGCCTCGTGAAACCTCCATGCGCAGATCCTTGCTAGCTGAGAATTCTGAGTCATGCATGATTGTTAATTCGAACCCCGTAAACCCTGAAAAAATCCGGATTCCACAGCATTTTCCATGTTCTTTTCCATTTGATTCTGTAGTACCCCTGCGCCCTAAACGCGAAATCTTAGTAGCTTCAATTTTCTTGTCCATTATTCCTTAGACCCCTACTTACTCCCTTGAGGGATGCAGAACGCCCAGGCTGGAAGCATGCTTCGCAGCGCAACGGCCGGACAGGTTGGTCCGCAAGGGATCGATGGTCTTTTTTGCCACAGCTTCCACGAATATTCCTCATATGCAGTGCCACATGACATGAGCATGAAATATGAAAATTCAGGCTTCGCAGTTTTAAGATATGCAAGATTTGATCTGTCACCTCTTGCAAGCATGTCATGCTTCACTTGGTTCTTATTGCTTTGAGCTCTAAGTGGCCCCTTTCAGAGACGTATGCCTTGCCTTACAGGGGTTAGTAGGGAATAAGGGGTTTTATTATAGGGCTTACATTCCCTTATTCCCTCACTAGCCCTTAGTGAGTTGCCGTATGTCAGTACTTTAGTAGCAACCCCCGGTGGATTGAGGAAGCCTTGCACCATTTACTATATCTTATATCCCAGCAGATATAACCCTAAACTGTAAACCCTCAATCCGGGGGTTCTAAGTGGTTAAAAAAAATCCTCCACTATACTCTATACCCAGATACTACTTACAGTATTTTGGGTCCTAAGTTGTAGAATACTTCCTCCATCAGCAGCTTCTGCGGGGGGGGGAAGGCCCTGGCAGCCGACTTCCTACGCCTGGAAGCCCACCGGGATGCTCTGGAGGCAGCCTAGAAACGCTTCAGGTCGGAAGGCGTTAGGGGTTTAGGGGGTTAAGGGGTTTAGGGGATTAGGATTTGGGGGTTAAGGGGGTTTAGGGTTTACGGATTGGGGGATTAGAATTGAGGGGTTTAGGGTTGAAGGGTAACAGCCAGAATAGTTCCTTTCTGAAGGAGGTTAGGGTTCAAGATTTAGGTGATGAATAGGGGGAATGGAAAATCCTAATGCCCAATGTCTAGAATTTCTCCTTCTCTAGTAGGATATGGTGCGCAAAAGGATTCTTGCAATAAATGCGGCCGCTGAATTCGAGCACCATGGGTATGCCGGCTACACAGGGGGGAGGCTTGAGGTGATTCCACTCAACATGGGGGGTTTCCCAAAATTAGGGGTACCTTTTTGAGGTCCCCATAATAGGGATTATATACTATTTGGGGGGTCTATATTGGGGTCCCCTTATGTTGGGAAACTACCACAGGTTGCAGATCTACTTCACAATGATTCGATTAAACCCTAAACCCCAGCACTAGGCGTCCTATCTCTACGTGCAAGGTTTGGGCCCTTAAGGCCATGCCAAGCCCGGCCACTGTTTTAAAGCTCTGCATATATTACGAGCCTTACGTTATGTGGGAGTTTCTTGTAGTATCCCTTGGGATAATCCTTAAGGAGGACCCCTGGAATTCTTATAGATGATCTCTACAAATGTCTGGCAAATCTAGGGTACGCCTGCTTTGAGAAACGCACATAGCTCATTCTTGCAGGAAGATTAGGATCCCAGTTTGGGCACATACTTCAGCTAGAAGCCTGAAGGTTGAGCCCACAGTACTAAGTACTATCCACTCCTTGTCTAACTATGCTATGACATAGCCCAGACCTGGACCATATTCTCAAGCTATGGGCCCTTGCAGAATTTACCACAGCTTCCTGGTGAGCAACAATTTATAGGCGACGGGGGACCTTTTGTGATGTTGAACGCATCTTCCAGCCTTCCCCATTGCACGGTTTCGAGGCCTCTCCATGGAACTCGGAGTAGTTTTTTCAAACTGTCTTGCCGCACTCTGCCAGGGCAAGCAATTGCGCTGCTTGGAGGACATGGAGAACCGGAAGCAGGTCTCCGCAGCTAAGTTCGAAGCCACAATCGTACCAGATAGCATGCCCTTTGGTGAGGTGAACCAGCAGAGGCGGAAGGCATATGCCGACATCCTCGATCGTCGTTTGCGAGCTGAGGCAGTGCCCTGAAGAGAGCAGAACAGTAATGGGTCAATAGCCTTGTACGAGCGTGAATGCTGTGAGTGCAACCTATGAAGCCGTCAGGGTACGCAGCAAAGCTTCACCAAAGAGCGAAACCTGGTGATCCGTACGGAGGCAGTAAACCGCGGTGACGTTCCAGAATTCTCAGAGCGCTTTCCAATAACTGTTTCAGGGAAAATGGATTCAGTGCTCTCTACAAATGCGCCCAGAAGTTTTTGGGGGCCTACTCTTTCAGGTTGTCAAGCTTGCGAGCTTGAGCATTCAAAGTGAACCTTTTCTAGCATGGTTGTCAGTAGTGATAGTAGTCGTAGTAGCAGAAGATGTAGTACATGTAGTAGAAGTGGTGGAAGCTGAATGAGATGGAGGAGCAATAGCAGTAATTCGGCCCGGAGCTCCAAATTTGGGTAGGGAAAGGACTTTGCATCAGTGGTTGATGGTTTTGTTTGCCTGCTAGTTGTTTGCTTACGACTGCTTAGGGTTCTCAGGTTTGCGGATTTCAAGAAAGTTCCCATCTGTTGAACGGTGGGTTGATGTCGATGTGATTGCAGGCTGTAGTATGGTGACTGCTGAATTATAGGGATTCTTCAACGTTTGCTAGCAGCTTAAAGCCATACAGTCATCGCATCTGTAGTACCTGGGTTCAAGTCAATTCTTGACGCTTCTAGACTGACTCAACAATCCCCAAATCCTGCATCCAAATCCGTAAGCCCCAAGTCCCTAGATCCTAAATCCCTAAACCCCTTAAGTCGAAAAAACCTTAAGCCCCAAAATCTCTCTAAAGCGCAGCTTAGACTGTGGCACAAGGCAACCCGCCTGTGCAGCTCAGCCGGCGGTGATGGGGAGGCAGAAAGATCCCAAGATCTTTTGCAATTGGCGTTGAGGATTGAGGATTCAGCGTTCAGGGTTTAAGGTTAGGGCTTAGCATTCTTGCGGCTTGGAGGCTGTACGGCAACGTCAGAGGAGCCTCTCCAGGATCCTTGGATTCTATACATCTATATTCTTGGGGCTTAGGGTTGAAGTTGCTTTGTAGCCAATACTTATACTCGGCCCCATTGTAGGGCATGAGGGATAGAATGGCAGGTTGACGAGTTGCGCGCAGGTTGCTGATAGTGATAGTCTTGACTTAAGATTTTCTAGGCTAAACCAAGAGACCCCTAATCCCATTACCTTATATAACCCTTATATAGGCCTTATATAACCCTTATATAGGCCTTATATTATATACCCCCTACATAACCAGGTAGTACCCATAATACCCACAATAAGCTACAAGGGTCCCCATTAAGAACCCTAGGAAGGTGTCAAGTGTTCAGGGTTCAGTAGCCTGAAGGCTGCCAGGACCGTCCCCTTGTGAGTGACCTGAACTACCAGCTGGATGGCATTTAGACGTGCAAGGTGTAAGGCTCAGGATTCCCGAGCCTTAGCTCAGGTTTTAGCCTTTAGGGTTTAGGGCTTAGGGCTTCGGATTTAGGGTTTAGGGTTTAGGGTTTAGAGTTTAGGGCTAAGCATCCTAGACCCTGAGCCCTATGCGTCCTAAGACCCTGAGAGGCTGCAGTTTGGTGTTTGCTTGTCCTTGGCTGCTGCTAAGCAATTCAAGTAAAATTTGGTTGCCATCGTAGGGCGTCGTAGGGAAGCCATATCAAGAAATTGCTATGCATCCATATTAAAAATTCTTTCTTTCTACATATCCGTATGAGAACCTACTATATGTCCATAATTTTAATTGTTAGTTATGTTTTTCGTATCTACATTTCACTGTTTTTACAGCAGCCCAGTATCCTGTCAGGCGGTCAACCAGATCCGCGCCAGCAAAGAGCGCTTTGCGCTCGAGGTGGAGCAGATGTTCCAGCCCCGGATTTGGGCGTTGCCATAAATCACCGCAACTAAGTGCAATTATAGTAATCATAGTAGTCACTAGCAGTGGTTGTAGCGGAAGCAGCTGTAACAAGTAGTAGGAGCGCAGACCTCTTTCGAAGAGCAACCCTGGCAGATACAAGGTGGCAAGACTGGCAGCAGCGAGTGGCGACAAAGATTCGCGAGGAGACTTATCCAAAGTCGACAGTACAGTATTGTCCCTGAGCGTCCAAGTACCCCAATAATAAGGCTTCCAGGGTACCTCAGCCCACAATATTTGGGTACTGGCACCCTTAGGGTGCATTATACCCAATAGAGCCCAAACCCTAAACCCTAAACCCTTGTACATGCCTGTATACTGAGGATTTCAGACCTTCTTGGCCCCAAGGCTTCCATCCAGGAAAGCAAGGTTCTGCCGGCTAAGGTTATGAGGAGGCCCCAGTTGTAGCGGTGTACCACAAGCAGGGAAATCCATAATCACCTGCCCGGATCATAATCCACCCTAAAGCAAATATTCTGATCAGCCTGACATTCTGGATCAATTTTGCAGGGCAGGACTACGGTGACTACACTCAAAAGATGCAATATCAAGGCTAAAGTGCTGATGGTTGGTTTCTGGGGCTACTGTGGGGCGAGTGGAGATGAAACCTCGTAGGGGCAGCGATTGCGATACTAAGTAATCCTAATGCTAACAGCTAACATGAAAACTTAAAGATACGTGCACAAAACATGGTACCGAGAATCGTCACAAGCCACCAATCGCATTGAGTAGGCCGCTGGGGCTTATCTTGAGGCCAGTGAGATTCCAGATCAGCATCACGCACCAATGCAGGAAATTGTTGCTGCTGCTGCTTTTGCTGCTGTAGCCGTAGTAGCTGTAGTAGTGGTGAAGGTAGGGGTAGAAGCAGACGTAGAAGAAGAAGCAAGTAGGAGGCATGGTAGCAGTGTTTATGCTAATGGTACTAGTCGTATAGTAGGAGTACTATGTCCGAAGACTCCCACTTGACTCGTTGTTGATGCTTACTCAAGGCTTCCACTGCAAGAAGATCGTTCAGGCTTTTGAGTACCACAACGCAAATCATCCCCAATCAATTGCCGAACGCCAAAACTATCCTCAACAGCCTTTTAAAATTTGCAATAATTTCAGGGCAGTCGCAGCCTCAAGCATGCCGAAAGCTGATCTTCTTTTGTGTCGCCCATGAAAAAGTGCAGAATGCTGTGGGTATCTTGATGGAGCCTGCCTTCGAGAAGGACATCGACGTAGCTCGGAGAGATGCCGAGCACTGCAAAGCTCGACAGCAGGAAGCCATGGAGGCCACAGAAAGGTCTTTGGATTTACGTGCTGTTGGTAAGGAACGGAATAGGGACTATTCTTGGTGATGGCCTTCGGTATGTCCCTAGTCTGCAAACCTGTAGTACAAAAACTGATCTGAATCATCGGGAATGCCGCTGCCCGCTTCTATCGCATTTGTGCTTGCAGCATGCATGATGACGGTTGATTGCTGACCCGTAACTTCTAGTGAAGGGTACGCGCGCAGTCAGCTGGAGAATTTCTGCACGACCATGACCATGATGTCTCTGCTTTTTCTACGCTGGAACGCCAGCTGCGGTGATGTCAGAAGCCATTTCCTAGATGGATCAAGCAGAGCAGAGAAGTAGCTTCTGCAGGTAGGGGCAGGGCCGTGACTGAGTCGTTGAGGCGCCAGATATGGTGGTTTCCTGAAATTAGGGGTTTCCTTCTTGGGGGTCCCTATAATAAGAACTATAGTATTTTTGGGTCTATATTGGGGTACCCTTATTTTGGGAAACTACCATATAAGTGATTTCTGTCAGCTTGCTTCGGCTTCCCTTCCAAAGTAGTTCCGACTGTTTGGGGTCGAGTGTGGTGAAGCTGCAGCTATCGTTTGGGAGCGCACCCAGTTTACGTTCTGCTCTGCACCAAAGAAATACTATATACTATGCTATTACCTATTACCATATCCTAGCATATGCTACAATATACAAGCATGTCGAATCTGTCCTAGCAAAAGCATGCCAGCTTTACATTCTGACGACTCTGCATGGGTTTTCAGCCTCATCGTGCTTCGTTCCCTCATTACTACTTCTAATGCTTGCTCAGTAGGTCTTGTCCAAGTTAACTCGCATGTTTGGAGTATGGCTACACCTCTGACATCTGGAGTCGCATCATGACCCAAGATGCTAGGATATGCATCATAACAACAGGTGCCATTCACAGTCATTGTAGAATTCCCGTAGCTGCCTCAAAAACTCTCGTAATTTGACGCGCCACAACCCGTTACATATGCCCGCCATGTAGTCAGCAGAAATCCCACAATGACCACACCCCCACCCCACTTACAAAAACCCTAAGCCTTGCAGTATACTATAGTCGTTTCCATGTTCTTTTCCATTATCTCTATATAACACCAGTATATACCCTATTATACTACAGTAGTTCCCGTTGTCTTTTCCATTCTCCCAATATAAACCCACTGTATACCCTATAATCCTTATATAGTCGCTATATAGTCCCTATAGTCCCTGTAGTTTCCATGTTCTTTTCCGTTAGTGCCCCAAAGCCGTAAACCCTAAACCCTATAACTAAATGCTTGTTCCAAACCAGGCCATGCCGGACAAGGACCTGCCCCTCACTGCGGTCGTGGGGGCAGCTGCGGCCGCCAGCGCGGTGGTTGGCGCTGCCACGGGGGTGGTTGCCTTGCTGTGTGGTGGTGAGTAGGGTTTCGGGTTGGGGTCTAGAGTCTAGGGTTTAGGGTCTAGGGTGGGTAGGGTTGTAGGTTGAGAAGCATCTTAATGATGACAAGGCGTAGTAGTAATAATGCAAGGAAGACCAAGACGAACAAGCACCATAAACGACATAGCTGCAATTCTGAGAGAGAGGATGACACAACAGTCATGACGATAGAGTGACGATAGCTCTGATTAGAAGAAGACGTTGAGTGGCAAGAGCCAGTAGTACCCTTAATTGGGGTATATGGCCCCGAACTCAGGAACCATCTGTGGGTAGGTGGGGCGTCTGCGCATAGAAGAACCCGACGAAAATCTGAGTTGTCAAGCGTCGACTCAGGACTTTTCTCGCTTCCTGTTTGCGTGACTTCAACGGATTGTGTAACATAGAGTGCCGGAAAGCCTGTTGTGTCACGGGTAGATGCACCCGCTAGACCGATGTTTCATGTTCTGTTAACTTGCCGCTGCGTTTGCTATGCAGGGGCATGCGCTTTTTTTTGAAGAACAAGTGACAGATCCTGGACATATGTATTCTTTGTATGTGGATTGTAGGTCAGTCTCAGAGAGAACAGTTTGAGCCACTCCCACAAGGCTCTAGGGAATGCTTATGAACGCAAGACGTTTTTGTCTGGCCATAGCTCTCCTGAGTTAATGGCTAAGCAGTAGGATTTGGGGTTCGGAGGTTGTCAAGAGGATGAGTTCCTTGGCTGTGTGGGGGTAGCTACGGAATACGTAGAGGCTTGTTGCGATATTGCCATTGATGTATCAGGCGTTGAATATTAGATTAGGAGTGCGTTTTTACTTTGCTTCTTTGATACCTTGGACAAGTCACATTCAGACACACAGTCGCACGCATGAAAACTGGATGTGGATCCTGACAAGGATTCCCGTCCAGGTATCCCCTAGCAAAGAGTTCAACCCATAGAAGGGCAAGCTCCAAGCATTCGATGATGTAGGAAATCGAAGTTAATTTCAAACGTCTTGATACACTTCCTTCCATTTCGCCTTATTGTGTTTGCAAGGGACAACGAATCATTTGATTCTTCGAAATACAATTGTGCATGACCAAGCACATTGGGACCCTGCTGGATGATACGTTTGCCGATGCCCGTCTCCGGTTGCGCCAGAGTCTCATCAACACAGAGTTTGTTCCCAGAGTCCTGAGAGAAAGGTATTGCAGTGTTGTTTGGGTACACTGGATCAGAGTTGGCTTCACTTTTAATTTAAGCCCTGGCAAAGGCTCTCTTTATGGCTCTGAAGGGCAAAGAGAAAGCCACCAGCAACGGCCCTTCACAGAGCCTCGGATAAAGCTCTTCCCGGCAACAGGGTTTGTGCATTGTACTTGTTCTTGTGGCCTGCTATTGCTATTGCCGCTGGCTCCTCTTAGTAGTTGCACGGTGACTACCCGACATCGTTTATAAGTGGTCCTACGGCAACACCAGCAGCGTCACTAGCATCATCCGAAACAGTTTGTTTTTAGATTTGGCTTGGGTTTCGGCACAGCTCATAGAGTGTTGTGTGTTCAGGGTTGGATTGCCGGCCTGCACCCGAATCTGTGTAGTTGCAGATACATTCATGAACTTGCATGTGTTAACACCAAAGGCGTCGGGTTGCGTTTAGCTTGGATCACTTGGAAGTGAATATGCCTCTGTCACTCTTCCAGGCCAGAAGCCGCAAATGCGCACGTGAAGCCAGCGGGAGCAGCTAGCGGCATGATGGTGGAGGATTCCGGAGAAGCTTGTAGTTTACGCTGCAGATTCTGGTCCTGTTGGCGAGCTGTAGCCATAAGTAATTCTTTGCAAGGCCATCCTACTTAGAAGGTCCCTGGCATTTGCAGATGCAACATGTAGCCCCCAGCCTTGATTGCCGGCCCCAGACTTCCAAATCGGGCTTCATGTGTTGAAGAACATGGTTTCTGATCCTCAGAGAGCAGATTCATTCCTCAAAGCTTCAAGCACCGCTGCAGTGCAAGGACCAAAGGTCCAAGAAGGCGGGATTGGCCGCCACCTGGACGAAGCCTGTGGGGAGCTTGGCCTCCTCCCAGAAACAGCTGTTTCAATGATTAACCCTACTTGGGGTTAGTAGGGGATAAGGGAAAAATAGTATGTATATATATATATATCTATAGGGATTATGGATTGTACTCCCTTCATTCCTACTAAGAACAAGGAAGTAACCTTGTGTTATATTCTTTTTTCGACTGCTGACAGCATCATCAACCAGTAATGCTTCTTCATATAGTATTGTTGTTCGCATTCGATTATCGCTATTGCGATGAGTACCATCCTCATTTTTATTGTTCTTGCTATGGTTTACACATGTACCCGCATCACAGAACCTGGTTCCCATGTAGGAGTAGCTTGTGGCTATGTAGTGGGGGCGGGCACCTTAATCGTTCAGCTCCAAACACATGCCGGGAACCTTATCCTATGATTCAATTTGAACTTATTAACAATATCCCCCCCCCCCTCCGCCCGCCACGCTTGAAACCCCTCGTCCCCAAGCCAATCCAAAGCCACAGTGGATGACGTAAGGTCGTGATTGCAAGCCCTGCTCTTGAGGGACTGGCCAAGGAGGCTGTCACCCCAGCAGTCGTAGACAGTCCTTTGTTCATGGGTAAGTGTTGAAGGCAGACTTTAGGCTTTCAGGAAGAGTCCCAGTAGAGACCTAAACAATTAGAATGGGCTCTTAGAAGCGTCTATGATACGGTTCAACCTGGACTTGAGAAATTTGAGGGGTTGATCCGGGTATTTTTCTCGCCTGGCGTTTTCCTCTAAACTTCCTGCATCCAACTCTAGACACAATTTGTCAAATGCCATCCCTTGAGGATTTTGCCACACTTCCCATGTTTTCGTGGTAGCTCGCAAGGTTCGCAAGCGACTAGGCGAGGACGAGTACCCAGCGAATGCTGGAATGGCACTCAGGGGGTCCGGACTGAGATCTATGTGGGGTTTTCCCAAGATCAGGGGTACCTTTTTGGGGGTCCCTATAATAAGGATTATAGTATTTTGGGGTGCCGCTATTTTGGGAAACTACGATGTCAAACGTTGTCGAAGTAATGGTCCATTTGTTTGGTACCATATGCATTACGACACCCGAAAAGATAGGGCACCCGGAGCAGAACAACAACATGCCAACGTTCCTCTGTTTGAGGGTATCTCGCCGGGACCCCGTGCTGAGAAATGTGCATGTTTTGGGTTTAGGGTGTGGGGTGTAAGGGTTTAGGGTTTCTCTCCTTGCAAGACCCCTGCAGGTGAAACATGTTTGGGTCCGTTTTGATGTCTTTTGGAGGGCCTGCAGTGGTACAAATCACACTATATCACAGGAACTTGAGAAGAGCATCGCAGAGGCGCCACACCCACCTCTGTGACCAGAAGGGATCATGATACTGACGAGTGTGTGCGGGTCGCTATGCATTTCTGTTCTACTAGCATTGGTGAGGTTGCAGAACATGCAGAACCCACAGAAAGGTTAATAGTTAATGGACTTGCCCGTATCCATGGCCTATACCCCCTGAATGCCCGAGGCCCAACCGTAAACCTGGAGTACTTCAAATCGAAGGATCCGAATGTGAAGTGCCCGCGGCTGATTTGCGAGAGGTCAGAGCAAGGGTATGTAAGAGTTGCAACCAAATTTTTGTCTGATACAATTCTTTGACAAGATGCAGCCTGTGGTAGTGTGAAGACTTCCTCAAGACTCGGATCCTCGACCGTGCCAGGTTTAACTGGAAGCGAGTTGTGGGTCGAAAAATTATTTTCCTCTTCGACACCGTCGACCAAAGCCGGTTTTTCGAGCAGCGCCAGCCTCAGGACCTTTGCTCAAAGGCAGGGTGGGGAATTCGCAGGTATCTGAGTTTGAAATGCACCCTTACTTAACTCCACCTGCTACTGTTAGAAGCAGGTCAGTTGAAGAGGTGACAGACACCGATAGGAGTGAAGCGACCCCTACATTCATGTTGGAAGCTCCGATCAAAGCTTCGTTGTGCCCCGACTGCCTCCAGGATACAAGGGATCGCTGCTCTAGGCGGTGATTTGGAAGGACTTCCTGGAATCTCTATTGTGTTCCCAAACCTTCCTTGCATCCCCCCACCTTGTCCCCCGTAAGCTACAAGCTCCAAACCCTTTACTCCATCAATCCCTAAACCTTAATCCCTAAACCCTAAATCCTAGATCTGAAGCCCTCCATTTCAAGAAAGACTTCCCATGTCACTCAGGCTCTCGCTGCTCCAGGCGGTCCTGTTCATCAGCATTCCCAAGGGTCCAAGAGGGGGCGTTTTAACAATAGACTTACCTTACAGGGGTCTATCTAGGTTCTGTTAAACGGACCATGGAGATGTATACGCTTTAAGGTCTAGGGTTAGGAGGTGGGAGGCTCTCAAAAACATGGTACGAGGACCCTACGTATGTGTGGCAACTGGACAGGGACTCGAATGTCGAACGCATCAGCAAGTTTAAACAGCTCCCAAGTGCCCAAGAACAAGGCGTGCTTTGGACTTCAAGGTAGAGGTAGGTTGGTGCCTTTGGACATTACGCGGTAACGCCAGCTGAGCAGCGGTTTTTTTTACGGTAGATGAATTATAAGTGCGCAACACAGAAAC